AATAACTTTTGTTACACGGCTCCGTAGCGGTCATTGTGTTCCCGGATTGCGTTGTGAGTAACATATGAGTGCGGAGTAGACTCAAGAGTTTTCAAGATGCGAGTCGCTAATCCTCGGTCGATCATTAGCTCGTGACTGGAGAAGCCCAATCAAGTAATCGAGATCTGTGTGACGAGCACAGGATTTAGAAAGCCGCACAGATTGCAATGAGAGGGAATTTGACATAAGCCGTGAAGGAGTAAAACTGGCCGGCCGTCAGCCCAGCCGCACGCTCGGCCTCATGGCTAGCTGGAACAAAAGCCGGCCATCCTTCATTGGGACAGAGTGTGTGTAGAATATTGGGAAAGGATCGACCAGAGCGACCAGAGCGACCAGAGCAACGCGGGAAAAGAGTTTGCCAGTAGCGATCTTCGGTGCATGTTCTGCAGAGATGAGAGGGGGGGGATGGAGGAGGTGGTTGGGTTGTTGACTTGTTATGGACTGGGGAGTGGGGGAGCAAGAGAGACGAAAAAGGTCAGAGTTTGGACCAGCCAGTGTTACGATCGGGTGTTGCCGAGTGGTTCATGGGCGGCCCCAGGCCGTCAGGCCCCGCAGTTGGATACTTCGATAACTAGTTCTCGTTAGTTCATCGCCTAGCATTGATTTATTCCCACCCGCACCACCCACTCATTTCGTGGGAGGTCGGCATGGTGGTGTGTGCTCCAGGCTCAGCTGAGTGAAATGCGGACAGTCAGAAGTTCCAAGTTCTGATCGAAGTTCTGAACAGAATTCTCTTCTTGTCCCTGGCAGCAAAGGCTTACCTGGTGTTACACTCAAGCATGCTAGCGTCCATCCAGCAGGTACTGTAAATCGGGGAAAGGATCGTCCTTTTCATAACTTGTGGGGACCAGAGCCAACTATTCTTTGTCTTTCGCTTAGGGCCCATATTCTATCTTTTATGGTTCTTATCAGCAATACTCATCGGGATCCGGTGGGTCTGAACAAAAAAATTGAATGGCCCAAGTGCATCTGCACGTCAGAAAAGCCCAGCTTTCCAGCAGAATCAGCTCTTGCGAGTCATTGCATCTCTTTTCAAAAACTGTTCGTTCACATGTTTCGGAGACCATCTCATGTAGGCGCAGCTAAGGAGCAAGTTCGTGGAGTTCAAGGAAACTTTCTCGGGCCTCCCACGATTGCACCACTGGAACTCATAACCTTGAAAGATCTTGTGGTACTCCGTACTCTTGGGCTTCTTCTCCCTTGGGAATGCCATTGGTGGAGCGTACGGTCCACCCAAGGGCAAACATGGGAACGATCGTCCTCCCTTTGCACATTTGGACGTTCTTAGGTCTCTTCAGTCTCGCAGTCTGTGATTTTCGTCTTGCCATGATGTCGACAAGTCATGGATTAATGGACAATTGTCACTCACGCGGGAGCGCAAGAGACGGAACGGGAACCCCGCCTATACACTCCACGGAGTACTTCGTATCGGTACACATGGCTACACGGATACCGCTAGAAAAGGCTGATATATGGTGGTACATTGTTTTTTTTTCCGATGATGATCGCCGTCATCGATCCGTTCCTCCCAGAAGCACGGGGCCTTGGAAACTTGACACCGGACCGCGCCAAAACCCCATCCGCATCGTGCTAGATAAGCGTCCGTGCAGGATGAGTCGAGCTGGATGCCCTGGGAGGGTTTTGGCCAGCAAACCTAACTGAAATGTTCGTGGCTGTTCTGGACTCCTGATTAGCGTAGACATGCCATGTCAGCACTGGCCGCTGCAACCGCAGCTGACATTTGCCTGGGCTGACCAGCGAGTCGGCCTGTATGCCGCAAATAAGCTAGTCTAGTATGCCGCCATGCCCGGACCATAAGCAAGTTGAGAACTCATTAAGGCGATCGGGGGCAAATCAGCCCGCTGCATATTATCACAAAAGGGGTCGCCCTAATGCAGAGGCAGAAGTTGGAGGAATGCGTCTCAGCTCTGTCTCGGCCAACCATCATTGTGAAGGATCCACCCAGAAAAAACTGGATTGGATTCGACGTATCTCCTGCTAGAGGCCGGCCTGAGGCTGCAGGAACCCCCATAAATCCAAGTTCCGGACGGTCTCACAGCAGCGTCACACGCACCCTCTTTCTCAGTCTTTGACTCTGAAGATCCCACGCACCGTAGGGCCGCAGCATCCCGGCATATGCGTGCCTTGGCTGCCAGTAACATTACCGACGCATGCGTATATACAGCAGTGGCATCCCCCGCGCTAGTCGTGATTCCGATCGCTCAAACACCACCGCTCTTACCCCTTTCTTCTAGTTGTCGGTAGAATCGCGACTAGTCAATTGCATGCAATCTTTTCTCTAACCTTAAGACCATGGATGGAGTATCAATGGGGATGGGCCCGGCCCCTGTGCGGAAACATTTCGTCCTGTGCTTCGATGGAACCGGCAACAAATTCTGTGGGGATGAGTCGGATAGCAATGTACTCAAAATCTTTCGGGTAAGTCCGGTCCTTAGATGTACTCTTTGAATGAGACCACCCGTTACAATCGATCAATTGGCTGACGTTCGTCTTCATCCGGGGGTTTAGATGCTTGACCGCAGCAAGAGCCATCAATTCCATTACTACCAGCCTGGGATTGGAACCTACGTTACCACCCACTCTCTGACCAGCCACAGTCGCTATCAGCGGATCCGGTCAGCGTATCTGAAGGCCAAGGATTCTGCCATCGGCTCCTCTTTCGACCAGCATGTGATGGGCGGATATAAGTTCCTGATGCGGTACTATTCTCCCGGCGATGATATCTACTTCATCGGATTCAGTAGAGGGGCATATATTGCACGCTTCCTGGCCGAAATGCTTGACTATATAGGATTGCTCGAGGCCGGTAACGAGGAGTTGATCCGCTTCGCATGGAAGACTTTTGCCAAGTGGCAGCAGCGACGAGATGACACAGATGAAGAGCGCGAAGAGAAGAAGAGGCTCTTTCGGTACATGAAGGCATTTCGCGAAACATTCAGCCGACCAATTAGTAGGATCAGGTTCATGGGTCTGTTCGACACTGTCAACAGTGTTCCGCGCTTCGAGTCAGCATGGATGCAAAGGAGCAAATTTCCTTACACCGCTCGTAGTTCCGCCAAGGTGATTCGACATGCGGTCGGTATTGACGAACGTCGGGCCAAATTTCGCCAGGACCTGATATCGGAAGTGAGACCCTGGGCTGAGAAGAAGAAAAAAGAGGCCCACCTTTGGGGTCGCCAGAAACTCCATCACCTTCGTCATCCTGCTGAAAGACGTGACCACAATGACGTTCCCGCTATTACAGTGAATGATGACAACGACGACAAGGAGATCGACAATGGAATGCAACAGCACCCAAGGCGAAGCCACGAGGAAACAGAGTCTGTGTACCGGAGCACTAACTGCTCTCGTGAGGACCTGCATCACGATTCACACCGATACCGTGCTCATGCCTCACCCAGCCCTAATCGGAAGCTCAGCCTGGCGGTGCCCGACATGGCGGGATCCACAGAGGATGTTCATTCCATCCGCAGCGGCAATTCCGGATTATCACTGCAAGTACCCGAGGTCATTGCGCAGGCAGTCATGAGTGACGAAGAGGATGGTGGGCAAGACATCCAAGAGGTTTGGTTCCCAGGGGGTCATGCAGATATTGGCGGAGGCTGGAAGCTTGGTGAAGATGAGGTTTGGCCATTGAGCCATGCCCCTTTGGTGTGGATGGTCCAGGAAGCACAGCGTGCCGGGCTGCAATTCGACCCCCGGAAGCTGAAGCAATTCGAATGCTGCGAGGAATTTGACGGAGAGTACACTCCAATCCATGAGAAAACAATAAACTGGAATCGCGACAGTGACTTCTGCCGGGACCCGGCGCATAATAACGCAGACGACGGCCAGCCATCCAGATTTCGGCCATATGCGAATGAAGATACCTCAGAATCGAGTCGCAACTTCCGCGAGGCTCTCCTTTGCTCAAGCACCGAAGGCCTACTGCACGACTGTTTGGAGTTCAAGATGGGTTTACCGGGTATGTCAGTTCTTACTTGGAGAATGATGGAGTACCTGCCCTTCCGCCGGATGGATCTTCAGAAAGATGGCTCGTGGAAGCCGATCCGCTGGCCACTTCCTTGTGGGGAGGTTCGTGATATCCCGAATGAAGCCCAAATCCATGTCTCTGCAATCCACCGGATGAAAAGCGACCCCAACTACCGGCCGGGCAACTTGATCATTGGAGGTGGCGGCCGTGGCGTGAAGAGAGCACCCGCCGAATACGGGATTGGTGAGTGGGAGCTCAAGGCCAACGCAGGTGATCCAGTGCGTGAGGTTTATGTGCGCAAGAATACCTCGAAGATGTGCGAGGAGGATCATCACTGAAATCAGTTCAGCACGAAACTATTCATCTTCAAAAACCATAGCGTGAATGTGGTTCTGAGCATTCATACCCCTTCGCAGCTGCTGACTTCTGACCGACCAGCTAGCTCATTCAAGTTCACTCTTATAGCCCTTCTACCATAATATTTAATCATTCATCATTATATGTTGATTACATTCCGTAAGGCCTAAACCCGAAGGATAGTCCATGTGTAAGAGCATAGTACTTGAACCGTTCGTTGCCCGGAAGATCTGTGCAGTCGGACGGCTCAAGATGTCATATGCCATTGTGACCGGCCAGTTTCAGCGACTGAGAACGACAGGGATGAGCTACGACCGCCTGGGGGCTCTTTTAAAAGACGTGTCTTGGCCCTTGGAGTGAGGTCGTGGCAGCAAGCTTACTCTCCTCGTGGCAAGCTATTATGCAGGGTTGGGCCCTTCGGCATGCGGTACAGTCCGTACAGCGTAGCTCAGGCCAGATTTCCGGCACGGCCGGAATTGCTGGAGAGCTCCAATAGGCACAATTTGGCACATGTTGACAGGGTTGCAGAGTGTATTAGTTAGTGTGCTCGGCTCTGGAAACATCGACAAATGTCTGGACTGGCCTAGACTCGGATCCATTTTGAGCAGACATGATGCTTCTGGGTGCTGGGGCTTCCCCTCTTTTGCCGTGGAATGTGTGAGTAGGATCCACAGCGATAAGGCGCGGGGTGCGCATTATCAGTTTGGAATGAAACATCGAAGGTATGACAGAGGGTGAAAAAAAACTGGCGCCGAATGGTCCGGGACCCTGTTCTTTCAACCAAGGCAATGGCATCGAAGCAACTAGGAAGAGTGATACAGGTGGAAGGAAGATGCTGCGTTTGCCAAGCTGAATCGAATCCTCAAGCCACGCTTATCGGACATGGACATGGAATCTGTGGCGGGAGAGGGGAAACAAGAACCCGTCAGGGTCCAAGTAGCAGCTAGATACCTCGGTCATCCTACTTAGTGAGTCGATATGATGAGTTCGATGAGGCAACTGCAGCTTTTGAAGGTCAGCAATGAAATTAGAAAATGATGCCGTTAAAATGGTATCTCTTTAGCTTTGATTAGTAGTTCATACAGCAGGAGAAGGAGTCTGAGGAGAAAGTCCACGTCCACTGGCAGTTGGGTGTACGTAGTTTGACAGAATTGACAGAATTGACAGAAACCGAAGTAGAAGGCGGTCTGCGGGTGGGCCCCGAGCAAGACCGCGCGTTGATTCTTTGGTTTCTGATGGTTGAGCTGACCTCACCACTCTTAGTTAACGTTAGATAGTTAGTTACTACCTTACAGTATCTACTAACGTTACCTCCCTACTCATCCTTCGTCACCACTCCGACCCTGTTCCTCACTTCTGTTCTTGAGAAGGGCCAAAAAGTGCAGCGACAAAGAGAGGGGCACAACATAAAGAACAAGACCGTACGCAGAATCAAAGAAGGGGGATCTCATTGCTTGTGCGCAAAAAATAGTCCAGCCTTTAAAGAAAAGAAACTCGAAAAAAAAGGGGGGGGACTTTCCCTACTAAATAACTCCTCTCCGCTTTGCTCGGGCAAAAATTCAACCCCCCCCCCTAACCCGTATATCTCGGAGTACTACTGACTTCCTATTTTCACAACTACTCCGCTCCACAACACGCCTCACCCTCCTCCCCCCAAATCCTGGTTCTGCGCCCGGCAAACCACCCTTTCAAATTTTCACTCTCGCACACCAGCATGAGGTCCAGTTAGCCCAACCTTTGGTTCGCAGACGGATATGGAAGCGTCTCACCCAGCGCCAGAGGGTATTATGTTACCCCCAAGCCCTGTGGACTCGGCAGGTTCGGTTGACTCGACCTCGTCCGGCTCTACCGTCGAGCATACCAGGGAGCCAGAACGCAGTGATCACGTCACGATCACCTTGTCTCTCACGCCTGATTCGCCTGCCCAAACTCCGAGTCGTGCTTCTTTCAACCGCTCCCACGTCCGCTCACGATCGATGATCGAAGTTCCAGGCGTCCCTCCAATGACGCGCGCCCACTCTTCCCCCGGGCTGGACTCGCGGGGCAGGTATATCTTCGTCAATGGTCGCGGGGGCTCTGCCAACGCTGGCGACAATTCAGCTAGGCGTTATCTGCCGCTGCAGGTGAACACGGGGGGATCGTCCGACTCGAGAATGGTGCCCCTGAATGTCTCCCAGACCATCTCCGAGAACGCCGAGTTGGACACCAGCATGGTTACGTCTCCTTCCAAGGCCGACTGGCACCCTACATCGCCTGTACTCCCGCACACACTTCCTCGCGTCAATCGTCGACGCCCCTCGTCTCCTTTGAGTTTCCATCCGCCATCGTCGCCTGGTTCGGTCATGGGCAGCCCGTCTCCCTCGCACTCCTCTCCTGGCGTACTCAGTTCGCGATTCAATGAGACTTTTCCAGGCTACTCTGGCTCTTCCACTTCATCTATTCCCTCGACCCCTACCAGTCTCCGATCTCGCAGCCCGAGCATCTCCTCGCTGGAAACCATTCCGGATATTCCCGATGCGGAAGCAGCAGCCATAGAGGCGGACAGAATCGCAGCATTGAAAGCTGCTGCCGATAAAGCCGACGAAGCGGAGGAGGCTACCAATTTGAATCGACGGCGTGGAACGTCCGATGCCTCGGGTCCCTCGAGCCCTTTCATGAACACGCGCGTTTCATCTGGTGGATACGGGGTGCGGGCCGATAAGCGGAAGCGCTGGAGTGTCTGTGGGGCGGAACGTCGTCAAGATTTGGACCTGGAGACCATCTGGGAAGATTGAGGAGTCAGCCGAATCCGACATGGCCACTACCAGGAACCACGATCCTTCTTACAATGGACAACGGCTCTCGCCGGGCTTCAAGAATAACAAATCGCAAAGGCTGACCCCACTGAACCTTATCGAACACACATTTCTCGTCCTTTCATTCAATTCGGCGCTCAATCGAGGGATACCCCTACCTCTTCCGTCCTCTTTCTAGTACGCGCGGTGTTTTTGTGCTTCGAATTTTGCTGAGGAGGAAAGAGCGGAATCTTGAGGATCACGCAGGCTCGTTGAAACTCTAGTCGTGGGAGACAGCATATTGGCGCATGGTCACTTCAAATGATGCCCTGGGCGGATTTAGTCTCTGGGGTTTATGTGTTCCTGTTCTTTCACTCTTGCTTCCTATTAGCTGTCATTTTTTTGTTCTCTCCTTTACCTTTTTTCGAGCGAGATTGACCAACCAGCCTGTGATTCCCCTCCTGTTTCTCACTCGTTCTTGTTCATGTTCTATCAGTCTTGTGGGCTCGGCTCTTGTCTTTATTACTTTTGCTGTACCATGGTTGCCAAGGATTGACCGATGAAGGTGTACATAACTGTGGCTCTGCTATACTGCCAATCATACATACCTCAAACAGTGCAGTTCGCTCTCTTGTGCATTGTATATCAGCTAAGCTATATCAGTATCTCTCTCTCTCTCTCTCTCTCTCTCTCTCTCTCTGTGTGTGTGTGTGTCTGTGTGTGTCTTCATACAAAAAGCATCACCAAATCCAGCCACCGATCCATCATGACCCAAGCCGAACGACAGCCTCTGCTGAAAGCCAACCAAAAACCAAAAAGAAAAGCCAAAAACAACAAAACATCCCTCCTCCCACAAACCAACCCCAAAAAGCCAATCCAATCAAGCCCCACCACCAACCCCCGAATCCTCGCGACCAACCACTCCGGCGGACGGCAAAGAATCATCCCTCATGCCCCCGACCCCCAACCCGACCTTCCCCAGTCCATAGAGCTCACAGATCCCCGCCGCGGCGCGCTCCCCACTCCAGTACGCGCCGGTGGTCGTCCCCAGCGCCACGAACGGCGCCGTATGCTCGCCGGCAAACCACACGCCGCGGTCGGCGCCCATGCCCGCCCGCAGCACCTCGATATCGCGGTCCCCGCGCTGCAACCCGACCTGGAAGTTGCAGTACGAACCGTGGCCCGCGTAGGGGTCCGTCTGCCACGTCGTCGCCAGGTAGGCGAGCGGCTGGCACTCCGGCGCGGTCGGGGAGTAGTTGTGCAGGCGGGCGAAGAAGGGGTGGAAGATTCCGTGGAGTTGTCGGTAGTATTCCGGGGAGGTCGGGGGGAGGTGTGCGATCTGCGAGACGATATGCGTGGCGCTGGGGCCGAAGGTGTAGAAGAGGAGGGTCGGGTGGGCGGTTTGCCGGGAGGAAAGGGCGGCGAGCGAGATGCATTCTTGGTTCCAGTGAATTTCCGGGGGGTGGGTGGTTGAGTAGCTTGGGTTGAGGAATTGGGCGAAGGTTGGGGTTTGGTAGGATTTGTAGGTTGGGGTGGTGCTGGGTGAAGGTGACGATGATGATGCAGGGTTGGAGGTGTGCCAGAAGGCGCGAGGGAAGGAGATGTATACTTTCTCGAGGCGGCCGTAGGAGATGCTGTCGATGGCTTGGCTGAGGCGCGCGGGTATGGATGGGATAAACGCGTCTTTGTTGCGCTTGAGCCAGCCTAGGGGGCAGGTGACGACTACTTCGTCGTAGTTGGAGGTTTCCCCTGAAGCTGTTGTTAGGGTCACTTGTGTGCTGGACGATGGCATGGCAGCGGTGTCATCGCGAACTGAGGACTCGATCTTGATGATCGGTTGGTTGAGGCGGATATCCGCGTGTTGGCGTGCGGTCTTGGAGACATGTTCCAAGATTCGTGTATATGTGGATGCCACAAAGTAGTTGTCTGCGGACAGGGTGATCAGTAACTGTAGACGTGATTGGGATAGGAACCCTGTAGGAGGATGCTCACTTCCGTCTATACATTCTTCGAGGCAAAAGAACTTCAGACTCTGCCTTTCGATGGGGTCACCAACATAGGCACCCCACATCTTGCTAGATTCAACGCACAGCTCCTTTTCCTCCTCGCTGAGGTCGGTCTGCACCACTTGTTCCTTGATGTAGTCAAGCAAGCTCCGATCGGCAGGTATCGTCTCTTTGTAGGTGTTGCTGTACTCGAATGCCTTGGCGATGATTGTCCACAGGACGTCCGAGACCTTCTCAGCGACATCGTCACTGATTGGGGTCCCATCGGGAGCTATAAGAGCCTGGTTCCCTTCGAAGTCCTCAACGGCGGTGTTTGTTGCTTCAGCAATGCTGACTATCGGGTTCTTTCCGGTGCCATGAATCCAATTAGGGCCCCTGCTTGATATGAGCACAACATGAAAAACAAGAGCAATGTCAGCATGCGACGGAAGCTTACATGTCAACCACATGATCATGGATCTTGCTCTGATGTACCTATTTTGACATCTGGATTAGCAAAAGAATTCTCGACAAGTGACAGTGGTTCACCTGTCGTCTACGTACCCTTCCACCGAGTCTATCTCTCGCTTCAAAAAGTACGACCTGGGCGCCGTTTTGGATGAGGATATCTGCGCATCGCAAGCCTGCGAAGCCCGCTCCGATAACAGCCACTCTTGGCTTGTGGCCCTCGGCCACGGTTCTTGACAGATAGGGCATGCCTCGGACCGACTGTAGCAAAGATTGTACGTCTCTGGTATTGACTGTATACTGGATTCGTAGGCTGGACTATGTTCCATTAGCTGGATTCGGCATTGATGTGTTGTGGCATGTAAAGATAGCTGTCATTCAACATTCTTCACGGCGAGTCTGACGACCCCAATGAGTCAGGGAACGACTCCAAGATTTGATAAAATGATGATCATCCGATGACGCATCGAGCAAATCCATTTCTCCAGCTATAGTCGTCATTTCACGACCGGTGACAGATCCTTCGAGGTCTATAAGCTCACAAACACGCAGATATTACATACTTGCATAATGCAGCGCAACTGCATAGACAACCCGGACAACTGATAACAAGCAAAAGAGGGCGTGAGAGTGCAAAAGCAGACTGGTTGGACCTACCGACTTGTGAATGACTTCGCTCTTCCAATTACGCAGCACCCAGGGTAAGCTGATAGACATCAGTCAGTCGAATGGTGGCGAGGAAGAGGCGTAACAATACTGTACACTAACTGGGGTCTTTCGTTCGCCGCTGGCGAGACAGAGCGGTTATATGTCAGCAGGCGGCGGCCACGTGCATTGAGCCCTACCTGTCTGTTAGTCTGTTTGCCCTCCCCGCTCCCACTCGAGTCTCGGACCCGCCCTTCCTCTTTCTCCCTTCATCCCGATCCTGCAGACAGCCAGTCTAAGCTATCTAGGATCTAGGTAGGTACTAAGCTATCGCTGCAGTGAGTCCTGCGCTTCTCTTATCATTCCCCGCACGCTATGCCGAAATCTACAACCTATCACCCAAGCTCAAACATCCTTGATCATATGATATTGTTATTTTTGGAGGTATTAGGCTGATAAACAGCACGGGATATCATTGTCACTTAAGACAGGATTTTCATCACCAAACAAGAAGAGCCTTTGACTGCATTTGCCTGGAAGGAATTAAACAAGCAGTGCAAATAGCAACCACAATCCAATCATTACAAGTTGACCATCACTCCGATTCATACAGGCAAACAACGCTTGCTGGCTTGTAATCTCCAACAGGAATCTACTCAAGGAAGAGGGGATATGAGACAAAAGAGAATAGAAAAGACATAAGAAAGATGAGGTCATTATAGAGATGAGCAGACAATAGTGCTCATCTCCAAGCACCTTGGCTCAGGGATAATAGTCCCTGGATGCAGTCAAGGTCCTCCTCCTGACTGGCGCCGCCTCCCCCACTCATGAAAGCGGACACCTCTGGATCCAATTCCGGCACGTCCTTACCGATGGACATGTTCACTCTGTGTTGTGATTGTTGAGAACCTCGAGCATATCTGCCAGCTGGATTGACGTTCTTATGGGTTTTGCCGTCCCTTCCGCTAGTGTCCTTGAGCACTGAACGTCGAGAATTGTGATGAGATGCAACCCGACGGCGATTGTGGGAAACTCTCGTCCCGGGGATCCAGTTTTCTTTATCTGAATCACCGCACTGCAAGTCGACTTCCCCGTCCTTCGCCGCTTCCATATAGGCTTTCAGGTTGGATCCCGCGTAAGACAACTTGTGATCAGACTCCAATCGACCCAGTGACGAGACAGTGCGAGAGATCTTCCGTCTCTTCTCGCTGTTCGGTTTCGGAACCGGGGTATTAAGATAGTCTGCTGATTTCATCGGCAGAGACATGCTGTGCTTTCCTGACAGACTTCTGGTCAAGGAACGCTGACTCCGGGATCGGAAGAGCCCAGGAGAGCCAGCACCTGGAGCACTTTGTGAGCTCATTGGCGTGCAAAGGGCACTTCTCGCATCGGTATCGAAAAAGGCCTCCCAGTTTCTGGGATCTCTGGATCTTCCAAACATCCTCTCTGCATCCGTGCTGCCGGCTCGCGGGGTGCTGAAAGCCACCGCACTACTGCTCCTGCGAAGGCCTGTGAACGGAGGCTTCCGGGCCGAGAACATAGAGATGCGATTCCTTGACGGAGAGGGCTCGCCATCAGCTCTGATCACAGCTTTCCCGTCGGACGACATTGCGATGCGAAGAGCATTCCGTCCTTTCGGAGGCGAAGGTGTGAACTCGCCTTCTTTCCGGACCATGGCTTCCCCATCGAAAGAAAGCGATAGCCGCAGCGAAGGCGGTGACTTAATATCGTGGAATTGGCTCGGTGTCGACGCACCCTGCACAAACGGCGTGTCACATCGAACCTCCGTGACCGATCGTTTCCTTTTCACCATGGCCTGTTGCGACTCATCGAATGTTGGAACCTCTTGTGTGTGAGAAGATTCTGGCTCCGCAATCGCCTCTTTCGATACTGGTTGCGAAC